TTATATTAAATATGAATTGAGATTCAGAAAGTAATGTAAGTGATTTATTTTAAACTGCTCGTTAAAATGTGTAAATTTTTTATTTAAATTATTGTAGATATAAGCTTATAACTCTTATAAGTTATAACTTTCGTATTTTATAGCATTATTATAAGATACCTCGTATAAACGCTGGAATTAATAATGAGTTAATTTTTATGTTTGCATTTGATTACTATATTTCTTGAGGTAAGGCTTATTTATTGTTAAATAAACTGTTTTAGGAAACGCAATCCTAACAACTAGTGTAAAGATTAATTTAAATTGATATTTATATTAAGTATTTTTAAAGAGTTTTGATTATTAATAATTGTCAAGAGCCATACGTTTTATTTGAAAAATGCATTAACTCTATTTTTACAAAATTTTCTTCTTATTTCTTTAGTATTTAACATTATCAGCAATAAATATATGCTAGTTATAAAATTTTTAAATTTTGAAAAGTGTTTCAAAATGTTGCAAATGTAAAATGTGATAGATTTTACGAATATGTACGTGAAATTTTCCATTGAATTTTTTTACCCCTTGGGAAAGAAACCGAAAAAATCCGCGGAAAAATTGAAAAAAACCAGTTTTCTTTCCAATCTTTAAAACTATACATGACGTCACATTCGGAACTGGACAGACAGAGAAAACGACGTATCACGTGGTATCACTCGTATATCTTTCTCTCTCGCACTTCTTGCCACTCTTGGACACACTTGCGACCTACGGAGAACAAAGGCATTCCACCTCCATATACTCAAAAGTTATGTACCAAAATTCACTTTTAGTGTTAAAAATCTGTAATGCACGTAACGTGAGCTATAGATTTTTAATACTGGCAGTGAATTTTACAACATAACTGAGCATGCTTGAAATAATACATTCAAATTTACCACGTAACGATGACAAGTTGATTGGCCGCTCGGCATCGACATGCGCAAGAGCATACCCTTGTATTTTTACTATGGTACTTTCTAAATACGTCATATTTCGGTATATTCCGTTATATTTCGTCATATTTCGTTACAAGTCATAAATCGTACGTGATAATTCTACAAAATATGTGGCATGTCGATATCGTAAGTAGTAAAAATTGATCAATCACAGTCGAGTGTAAAGGGAATACTCGACTTTAAGAGAATAAACGGACTTATTGTGAAAAGTATTGACGACGAATTTGGTGTTGCATGCCATTTTTTTATTACGTGCTTAATTTGAAAGTGATTTGTCTCGTACTTATCAAAATCGTAAAAATAGACGGAAACTAAAGTTATTATTGAATTTTATACATGATAAAAGCATATTTTTCACCTCTTTCAACAGCTGTCAAACCGTGAGTTTTCTTGCTTAAATAGACTTCACTCTACGTACCTTTTACGGCTATTTACTGACTGTCAGGGGAGAAAAAGGATAGTTTCTATCCATTTTTACAAGTTTTTTAGAACGATCCCATTTTGTTATTTCATCTAAATGTTCTTTATTTAAAAAATTGCACCGCAACAAACTTTTATGTGTCATTTCTCGCTTATGACGTCACAATCAAGAGGAAAGGGAAATGTACTATGAAATATCTCTGTTACAGAGCACGACGCAGGATCTATTCGAGTTGCTCGAGCGAGTGCAGAGTTCGCGTCTCGATGATCAACGCTGCGTTCTGCCGTCGTACTTCTCTCAGGTATGTGACAATGAGATTCACGTACATCCATCGAAATCACACACAGATATGCGTGCGAATGACGCCGTATAGAGGGCGTAGAGCAAATTAGAAAAGGCCAGATAATCTAAAACCCGGTCTACAATTACGTAAGCGTAGTTGTAAGTGATGTAGTTGTAAGCACTGACCAATTACAGTCGAATATTTTTCTTACATTCAATTGTGATTGGTAAATTCTTACAACTACAACTACTTGCAACTATTCTTACGCAATTGTAGACCGGGCTTAAAAGAACAAAAAGCTTCTTGAAATAAGATGTTTTCTGAAATAAGCGATTATAATAATTTCACATATAAAATATAAAATACGTATTTAAGTTCATGTTTACGACACGGTTTTTATTTTTATTTTTATTTATATGTTCATTTAAGATTTTCTGTGACGCAACATTTATTTAAGTCAACCGCGATATACCGGTGCCCGTATATTCTAAAAGAACGAAATCAAACCGCTGGCTCCTCGTTATCTAATTTCACCGCATTTAGTCGTAATTTAACGAATGATTTGAAAGCCTCACACGAAAGCTGGCCCAAATTTACGACATTTTACTTCTGTCTCACGCTTTCACGGTCGATTTAGTTTTCCAGCGTTTCGAAGTGACATCGATAATTATCGTAATAATGCGACCAATATTTCAAGTATACCTATTACTGCGTAATCACCGTGTATAAATCGTTATATTACTTTGCGAAAATGTTACAAAGACAAGAATAGATTATCGTCTTGCAACTTTTTAATGCGAGGAAAGAACAAGTTAACATCTTTTTTTAAAAAAAGTTAAGACGTTAAAAGATGCCGATTGCAGTGGAATGGACGAAAAAATTACAATCTAAAAGTGATACGGTGATCTTTGTATTCCTAGTCAAGGATCTTTCAACTTAAATAATAATATCTTTATTTTTTGCACAAAAAGTTACAGTATCACAAAGTTGCACTAATTGTAAGTAAAATAAAATTTATGTACACTGTGCAACTCAAGTGATATTTATCTTCGTATTTTCAGTCAACAATATTCTTATTTCAAACCATGTAGTTGTAGCTTTTTGTTTCAAGTCAAAATGTTTAATACAAGAAATGCTGCGATGTTTTATCTTAATATATGAAATATCTTAATTTTAATATAGTATGATTATGAATATTATGTATTATACAATATTATGATATTATACAATACATATGTATATTTTATCCATATATTGTAAATTCTGCATATTGTAGCAGCGTCAAGTTTTTTGTATTTACACAAAACTCTTCATGTATTTTTAACATTTGAATGGAATACAACTTCACTTAAATTGGGTTGAGCTATAATGTGTATAAATTTTGTTTTAGTTGATACAACTTTTGATATTATTTTTATATTTTATATTTATTGTGCACTTTTTGATTATTTGTTTAGAAAAATTATAAATGTCACTTATGCAGCTTGAGAAGAAGACCCTAATTGAAAATACAAAGATACGTATTACTTGGAGAATAATAAATTTTACACAAAATTTTATAATTAAAGTATTATATTTAGTTATAAATTTTATAAATATAATTATTATACTATTTTCACAATTGACGTAAATATCTTGCTTAAAAAGAAAAAAATAATCGATAATTAAAAAAAAAAACGAAAAAATCTTTATGAAAAAGAAGAGATAATGCCTTTTTTCTGAAATCGTCCATTCGATTACTTTTAACTTTCTGTTTTTCGTGCATAAATCTCGCATGACACTCCGCGCTCTGAGACGAGCTACGAGAACGAGCTGTAGATGAATGGACGGCGACGCCGAGAAAGAGGAGATGGGTAGAGGCTGAGAATGAATGAACAACGCGATCCGTCACGGCTGCCTGGACGCCGGGCGAAAAAACTCGAAACGAATCGCTCGATCGCGCGCATCACTTGATTTTCTGCAATCAGACAGTGCCGGCGTCGCGCATGCCCGTCCCCCCGTATCGCGTCGTACCCCACGTTTTCCCCCTCACCAGAAGGGGGCATCACGCCAGTCACATATTAAATCGACACGACAGAGGGGACAGAGTGCTTGTCCCCTTTTACTTAGCCCAGAAATGAAGAGAGAGAGAGAGAGAGAGGGAGAGACGCGTTCGTCTCCGTGTCGGGTTGCCGGTTTCTCGGTAATTGATTGAACGTCTGACGGGATTGAATGACACCGCAGAACAAATTATACGGGATGATACAGAAAAAAAAGTGCGTGTTCTTTTCGGCCATGGATGCTGGAAGAATAAATAAGGAGAAATATCAGTGTTTTAATATTAAAGTGTTAATATTAAAAATGCATATATTATATTTTACATATTATAATTTAACACAAGTAGTGATCATGTAACATTAATTAGAAAATTATTCAATACTAAAAATTAATTTCTATTCTAAAAAAAATTCGCAAAGTTCTATTCTAAAAAAATCTCTCAAAGTAATATGGGAATAAATTAATAATAAAAACTAGAACTGCTACTTTTTACTTACTTCGAATATTCGAAGTTTCGAAAAATTCATTCGTGTAAATTTAATTTAAAAAAATTCATAATTTTTTTTAATTTTATGATTTAAAATTTTTTGTTTTTAAGATTGTTTTATGCGAAGGAATATTTTTTTTAACGGCAAAACAATTATATTAATTTATTATATTTTTGTTTATTTATTTAAGAATAAATTTTTTTTTAAATTTTCTTAATTTGATTGTTTTATTGATCATTATCTTTTCTTATTTACATATATATCAAGTTTAATTATTAATTTGTAATAATTTAGGTTATAATATACTTTCAAATTTTTTAGTAATAATTACGTATATATATTTTAAGCATATATATTAATTCTTTTTATTTAATTCTTATTTGATGAATTTTCTGAATAAATTTATTAGCACGAATGTATTTTCCGCAACTTCGAAATTTCGAAGTTTCGAAAGAATTCGAAGATTTTAATGCCGAAACTTCGAAGCAAACCATCAGCCCTGATAAAACATGTTGTTTCTAGTTAATCTTAAATTTAATTTAAAGCGCCAGGAATCATTAATCATACTCAATTTGAGTCACGACGTTAAGTCTTCTCTTTCGGAATTGAAGAAACCAAGCATCTTTTTTACACTCGTGAGAAAAATCATTGCGAATAAACAGCAAAGAAAAAAAACAAGCGCGTCTGCAGGAAGTTGCGCATATGGGAATCGCTTTTGAAGAAAGAATATTGCGCGCCTCTCGCTTTCTTTCTCGCCGGCGAATTGCGATCCGGATTTCGACATACAAGTTGTAATCATCTGTGTGCCACATGCTACCCCACAATGTCGTGAGAATTGCGTTCGCTCTTTTTTATTCGAACTCGCTCTTTTTCTCCTGCGCGCGTTGCATCGTGTGTCTACCTGATCGATCGGTAAATATGTTTTCTGCTATCAATAATACAGATCGCGCTCATCGGGATGATCACGGAAAAACATGTTATCGACGGAGCATATCATAGATTTTTCTATAGTACCGACCTAAAAGAAGTTAGTATTACAGTGTTCTTTTATACCGACATTAATTTTTTTATTATATTTATTTTATATATATGTGGAATACAAAATATTGTGTTGATCAAATGAACGAAATTATAATAAGTTGTAAAATCTATCATTTGATGATGTAATAATCATCAGGTTGATGTTAATTATTGTTAATTATTTGCACAATATTTACATGTTTAAATAATTATTTTAATCAAAAGTGTATTTAAACAAATGAAATCGACAAGATTCTGAAATTATATTCCTTTGATTTTGCTAATTGATTTCAATTAAAATGGAAAAGACATGTTTTATGATACGGTCGCTAGATGGCAGAAGGATTCGTTACTTTGCTCTCTATTTTTCTATTTTACAAGAATAATTTGTACAATTAGATTTAAATCTGCAGGCGAAGGAAATAAAAAGAAGCCGATTTAAAAATAATGAGAAAAATAACGAAACCCATGATACAGTTAGAGAAAACTAAAACTTAATATTTATTTATATTTTTTAATAAAAAAATCCAATTATTCAAAATCTTTTTATTTTTGTATATCTATTACATGTATATAATATGTAATATTCTCTTGCGCGCGCGTGTCCATATGAAATCTTTCAGTGGAATAAAATAGTGAGAGGACATTAAGTACTTAATATAAAAAATAATAAAAAATTGCAACAATTATATAATTAAACAAGCACATTAAGTATACTTGTTTAATTATAGTTCTTTTATTGTTGCAATTTTTTACTATCTGTCTCGCTTTGGGAGATCGAGTAGAATGAATAATATTTATTTAATAACTATGATGATTATGGTATTATTATCAAGAAATCGTGATGTCCTATTTACTTAAGATAAATTTCTTTAAAGAAAGGACTTCTCATGCAAAGCTAACGATGGAAACGAATTACCTGTCTACCATCTTCTACTGTATTATTTTGAACGACGTATTTGTCAATCATTACGAGAGCCAGGCATTCCTTAAGTAGTAAATAATTATATGGTTCATCATACGCGAACCGAAACTCTCCGAAACGCGTCGCTGATTCGCGCGACGCGATAAAACGCGCTAACGCAAAGGGCGAGGCGAGCGGGGAGAGGAAGGGGGGGCGCGTCGCTTCCGGTCGGTCAGGTAAGCGCGCAGGAAGTCACCGCTTCGAACCATCGTACTCTGGCCGAACGGCCGGGAAGATTTTCAGATTTGTACCCTCTGTGCAGTGGCCGTGAAGATCGGAGATTTCGTGTCGCGCGGGACTCTCCTATACCATAAAAAGTGATCATTATGCTCTTCGTGGACACTCAACGTGGAAAGCGAGTAAAACAAAAAACTTTTTAGTTTTCCACTTCTCAACGTTGGTTGTTAAGGATCTAATTGTTAGAACTCTTCGGAGGGAGGAGAGGCTACCAGACTTAGAAAAGTTTGAACGCAGACGTATTCGAAGCGCTAGAACTTTTTAATTTTCGA